TACTGCACATCTGTACATCAGTGGTACAGGCCACACCAGGCATCTCGCACATACCTGCTTTGTGTGATCCTGCTGTGCACACACAGCAAGTTCTCTCCCAAACATGCAGTGACAGAAAAACAGATCAGCACAGCAGAGTTCTCAGAAAACCTGTTGCCTACGTGCTCTTTGTATGGGACAATGGCTTTCACAGCAGAATATGGGCAATCCCATCTAGCCTGGGATGTTTAGCAAGTCTGATCTACTTTTCCAAGAGTAGTTTAAATATTTCATGCTCAGCTACTTCCCAATAAGTCTATGACAAGGAGTGCAGGCAATCTGAACTGAGCAAAGACTGAACGGGCAATTTAAATATCTGCCTGTAAGTTGTCCCTCCTGCCCCTGCACAGACCCAAAGTTTACAGAGAGGGACAGAGAGGGGGAGAGATTTTCCAGACTGAGGAAGGAAGGAAGGGAGAGGCTGTCAAGGGAAGATGCATCAGCGTCTGTAGCTTAGCTCCAAGTCTCCAAGTTGGGAGAACAGGAATCCTCCCTGGGGTGTGTGTGTATGGGTTTTTGTCTGATTTTGGCTGATGTTTTGTTTTCCTGGGTTCTGCTTAAATAGAAGCCTGGAAGCATTTTAATTATACTTTTCTGGGGAGTGATTACCTCCTTTCTGTCACACATGTATCTGTCACACAAACCACCAAGAAGATGGAATTTTTCTCTTTTTATAGCTATATTAATTCTTTTTTCTGCCTACTCCATACCCCTGGGTTTTTTTGTTCTCTCTTCCTCGTTGCTCCATATCTTTATCCTTCCATTCCTGCCTTTTCTGTCTTGCCTATTTTGGCTGCCATCACTACAGAACAACCCTGCTCAACATGTCCCTATCACAATGGGAGCAGTAATACAAGTATTAATAACATCCTCCTGTTACCAAGAGAGACCCCAATCACTTTTTTAAGGACAAAACAGCCTGACCTTAGGGAGCACATACAATACTTTGGATAATTACAAAAGTCATGTTCCCTTTGGCGGCCTATTTTTATTACATATTTCGTACCAGCCATGGGAGGCCCTGGGGCTACTATTTTGTTTGTCTGGAATCTCTGAGCTAGACGACATGGCCAGGAAAGTCAGTTCATATTTAACTCTATATTCTGTAGATGAAAACCATAATGCAATGCACCTGGATTCCATTATCAATCAAACCACCAGGGAGGGCACTTATCATAAAGCTCTCAGCTTGCCAGTTTTAAAATTCTCCAAACTGCTTTGATGTGAACATCAAAAACCTCTGGACTACATGAACGACCACTTGCCTGACCTCATCCTTTAATTAGCACATCCTACCTGAAAGCACCACTCACAGGAGTTATGCAACGTTCTTAAAGACCATTAATTACATCGTTTCATTTTGGAGTGAACTGGCAGTACAGAGTAGGCACTGCACAGGAAACCCAGAGGAGGACCCTGTTTTGCTGCAGGAGTCTCCTTTGCAGCCAGTAGCATCCACATCTGCTGAGATCTCAGGTGTCCCTAACCTGACCGAAATTCAGTAATAATTAAGCTTCGTAGCCTTAGCACCTGAGACAGAGAAGTGATCCAGAAAGTCACGGCCACCCAAATGTGGTACGGAAACCTACAGATACCTGTGGGGCACTGGTGTTACTCTTAACCAGCAGTTACTCACAATGTGTTTCAGTAGCTGTGAGCAATCTGTTCCTTTGGCAATCACGGCAAAAGAAAACAAACAAACCTAAGGACTGACTGCAGTCAGAAGAATGAAACTGAAAGTGCTAATTCCAAAGCAATAGTGATTAAAAAAACCCAAAACAAAATAAAACAAAAACAACTAGGAAAGCTAGGAAAAACTGTCTTGGCATCATGGTAGCACACACTGTTTTTTAAAAAAGTAGTGCACTGAAGTAAAATTTTCTTTATTGATAGATAAAAAATTCTACCTGTGATGACAATTTCCTGGAAGATTTAAAAAAAAAAATATGTAAAAGACAAGAGAAACTTTTTAACTTGGGGAACACTTACATTTACTGCATTTCTCCATAAACACCATGCTAGCGAATGACTTAGTAGAATTAGTGAGACTCAGACGGCAAGTACAAGTGAGACTTGGAGAGCACTCCTTCCACGGATGTGCCACGTCACAGAGCTGCTGAACACATGGCTTTAATGGTGATGGTTTGATACAGAGTTAAAAAGGCCCAATACTATAAACATATTCACAGACGTCTTCATAGGATGAATAAATTCTTAAGTTCTGACAATCTTCATTTTCAATCTGATCACCAAGTGCCTGCAGCCCTTTCCAGTAGTGCTCACAGTCTACAGGGGCCTGTTTCAGATGCTGAGGCTGCCCTGAGTGATGCACAGAGATAGCAGCTCACATGGCATTTCACCACAAAGCTACCTACAAAAGAAGAGCTGCTTGTTTGTTGAAACGTAAAGAAACTCTTGGCAGATGTGGAATTACAGCTGTTGTATAATGTTTAGTTTTCTAAAACCAAAACAAAATTTGAAATCATATTCTCTCTTAAATTTTCAGATAACTGGAGATAAAGCAGTACTTTGCTCTAATCAGGTAGGTTTCCTGTTTAACTGTTGTATTGCACTATATCAATTGGGGCTCTTTCAGTGCTTCTAAAACTGGAAGGATCAGCAGAACTTCGGAGAGGAAATGCAATGGCAACTATAAAAGAAAAATTTATTAAAAGTCAGAAGATAAGACGACCAAATGTTATCCTTGCTCACTCCAGCTGAAAGCTCAAAAATTGTATACAGCAATTTTTTCTCGTGTTGGAAGGCTCTGCAACATGCTTGTTGAGTATCCGGGAACTAGGAATTGCATATGGTCCCCAAGGGCATATTAGTGAAAGTGCTGCTCTTTGTGAAACAGCTACAATTCAACTTACTTGCAATTACTTTTATCTTTTAAGAATGTGCAAAATGATACAGTCTATAAAAATAGTAGGCTTCACTAGCAGTATCAGCATTCAAGAGGGTAAAACAAAATGCTTTTTGAGGCATGCAATCTCTAGTTAGCATCAGAACTAAGTAGGGTGTAAGTATACATGCATTCTCTTCCGCAATACGTTTGAATTGTCTTTTTGTTATGAAGTGCAGAATAAATCTTTACAGCAGAATTTAAAACCTGAAATGGAGGGAAGGCCTCTGCAAAATACATGTAGCTACTAATTATCAGATGAAGAAGCTAACAACCTACATTGAAATGTGTTCATCCTATTTAAAAGACCTTTTGCTTGCAAAATACTAAAAAAACAAAATTACTGATTAAGTTCTAAGCCCAGATTTACTCACAACATGGGACTTATTTGCAGATACGATATGTAAAGATTTGCCTTATCTTTACAGAGATTTTACCATCATTAGCTAGGATTGTTCTGCCAAGTACTCCAATTCTAAACCTCCTACTTCACGCTGGTCCCACAGAAGGAAGGACCAGGAGCAGTTCTCCATTACTACACACACAGAATTAGTGTATAACAAGTTGCTTGCACACTTAATCTTCAGCAAAAAATGCAGGAAGGAGAGAGTGCTTACAGTGATATCCAAGAAAGATGGATAATTTTTCTCACCATGTCAAGAGTCAACTTGGTTTTGTCAACTAATTTAAACTGACTAATAGTTTCCTCTGAATAAAAGAAAAATCCCAAACGTTCCCTTTGCCCACAAAGGCAATGGCTAAAGTGTTCTTCCAGGCTATGCATATCCAGGTTCAAATTTTCATTTGCCTGATTCATGCATGGTTTGCTTAATTGAACACTTTATTTTTATAAAAATCTTCTGAAAAGGAGCAAAAATAATTCTTTCAAGACAACTTGCAACAATATTTAAATGTCTAGTAAAGAGATCTACCCAGTGAGGGGATAAATATATTCACATTTTCCCATCTGTTTCAAACTTGAATCTTCTTACAACTGGTGATGGGCAAACAGCTTCCCAGTAGCAAATGTTTCTGTTAAGTCTGTATATTGCCTTTCTGAATAATTTTCAGTACACTCTCTGAATTCTAACTGAATATAATATTTAGCTCTCCTAAGCTGTTTTTTAAAAAGGAGCAGCTCCAATTAATGAATTGTACCGGATTAGGTGTTGATCCTCCTGAACTTGGAAGCAACATAACCACTACCATTCCCACCATTCCCTTATGCGAACTCAGCTGCACAATCAGGACGAAGCAAGGGGATGACAGTTCCAGATGCTGCTTTTCCTTCTGGACCACAGCAACAATGTACAGTAGCACTGTTTAAAATGAAAATGAAGGAAGGACCGTAATGAAAAGGACTGCTGTCAGGATGTACAAACTGAATTGTCACAGGCAAGTGATAACACAAGAAGCAGTGGAGAAAACTACAACATTCATGTAATTTATCATGCCAACAAACTGTTAGAAGTCTGTCTGAGAGTGAAACAGGCTATCACATATATCACATCCAAATAGCTGGAGAAGACAGTAACAAGGGACTGGGCCCTCATATTCTCATGCTGCCCAAATTTCATCAAATTTGATCAATTTTTGCATACAGTAGGAAACAAAGCCTTACTGGACCATTCCATTATCAACAAATCTGCCTAAATTCTTCTCTGTACCTACCTGACGGGGACACATATACTGGGTACTTTATGCAGTTACATACAAAATTTTAAATGAGATTTTCACTAAAAAGATTTTGTATAAGCTCCCACTGCTTTTTACATCTGTTCCTCTGTATTCTTATGAAAATAAATACAAAGGATATGTAAAAAAAAGACAACTCAAACTAAACCAAGGGCCAGGCAGCACACATTCAAAAAAAAAACAACCAAAAAGCCATCTGATTGTGTACAAGGTTGCTATGACTGCAGGGAAAGATGCCAACATATTCTCAGTGTTTGGCCCCACTTTTGGCTTGGCCCTCCATTTGGCTCATCTTTACTCATAAGTAAATCTAGTTAAAAAAAAAATCAAGAACTATTTTTTGTGATGAAAAGATGCTATTTTTATTGAAGTGCTCTGAAAACATGCTGATTTTCATGACAAATCCCAGCAGAAGGAATAAAAGGGTGAAATTGCTTTCTGTCAAGAATTTTGCTCAGGAATTCTGACATCTGATTTCATATGGTTTTTTTTTTTTCATTTAACTAATTGCACAGCAAATCATCAGTAATGGTGCATGTTGCCTTACGCCTGACATGTTATGACATGAGATAAATTTTGTGTAAGTTTGTTTAATTTCTACACAAAAGGTACTTTGACCTAGAGTGTACGCTAATGGTAAAGAGAAGCTGACATTAACTATCCTTTTATCTACCTCTAACAATGTATATAAATTACGTGACTATTGTAATTGTGAAATACTGTGAAAAAAAGTTGTATAGGAAGATAAAAAATGCAATGTTGTAAGAATAAATACTAGAACATCAAAATCAAGCTTATATGAAACCTGGAGCAAAAGCTCCTTAGAGCCACAGCTGAGTTTCTGTCGAGCTCAATTTCTTTAAGTGTAAGTTGTCATTCCAGAGATGAAAACAGAATCCTAAAGTTCCTAAATGTCTTATGAAACAAAATCTGCCTTGAGGCATCACAGGATTAGTCAACACTCGCAAGTTTCCTGTCATCTTGTTAACAGCCTTAACCTCAAAATATTAATGAATCTTACGTTAAAATGTGTTCTGCCAAGAGTAATCCCATGTGCCTGCTAGAGGCACACCTTGCTACCAGGAGCAGTGGGGATGCTGCTCTTCCCTGAGGTTCACTGTCATGGATGGGTGACACTGCTGGTCCAGGTCAAGAGCATGGCACCAGGGGCAGGACTGGCAACACATGGCAGCACAGGTATGTGCTCTGTGCAGGTATGTGCTCTGTGCAGAGCTGCTCTGTTGAGCCACACGCCAGTGTTTCAGAGATGCTGCCCTGCTCTTTTGCATATGGACATCACGAAAGAGAGCTCACAGGGTGGGGAATGGAGCCCTCACCTGACTCTGAAGGTTAGACCTTGAAAACATGTGATTACATGGAAATCAAATTTTTTCCTTTTTAAAGCAAGGCAGACTTAGAAATCACAGGTACAAAAAGGGTTTGAAAACATGAACTAAAACAACCTAGAGTTCAGTGCAGAAATTTGGAAGTGCTCATTCATGAACTGCACTAATTTCAGATGGTGAATACCACTCAGGATTGTGCAGAGGGAGAGCTGAGGAGGGAGGGAGGGCTCAGCACAACTAGAGCCCAAAGGTCAGAAATACCTCAGCAAAGACGAAAGAAAGTACAAGGGGGACTTAGCAGCTGGGCAGTCCTGCTTTCTTTGCATGGTGGTCTGCAGCAGTCGGTGGAGCCTCCTCATCCATCACACACAAAGCAGAACTACTTTCCTCAGCTGGGTTTTGGGACATGCAGTAAGGGGCAGGATGGTCATGTGTGTACTGCTTTATGCAGCTCCTACTCTGACTTTTTCATTCACTAACTTCCCACTCAGCACAGCCTCGTCCACACCATGCTCTGCTCCCAAACCAAAGAAACGCTACAGATTCAACTAAGTACCCTCCTTCCCTGCAAATCTGACAAACTGTCCCTGTCCAAAAGGTGTTGTGTGCTGCTGGGTGCTACAGAGCTGCTTATAAGTGGGCTCTGCCTCACCTTCACAGGGAGAGGAGAGAGATGATAAGGGAAACAGGGAAGCGTGGTCTTCATTCCCTGCAGAGCCCTTCCCAGGGGCTGTGAGGAAGCTAATGCAGCAAAGAAATGGGCAGTGGCAGGACATCATTCCAGGTAGCTGCGGCTGCTGGAGGGCATGAACCAGCCCTGAGAGCACAAGAGAGGGACAAACAACACTGTTGCACTGTGTGTCTGCAGCTCCTTGGAGTTTATGTCAAACAGAAAACACATTGGGAAGAAATGGACAATCTCTGTAACACTTTTCACATGCGTTAATGTGCCTTGTCATATTTTGGTATACATAAGTGGCTCCCTGCCACGTACAAGCATACATACACAGGCAGAGCACAGTTGCCTCCACAAAGCAACCTCTCACAGAAAGCAGCTTTCATGCATGACACATCTCATCTGTGGGGACGGGACTAACAAGACGGCATCAGTAAAGGGATATGTGTGTGCTCATATTTTATGTACGTTTCTTCAAAAGCACATATACTGTCAACTGTTCTGGACAGCTGTCATCATTGAATTAGATGATGTTCCTCAAACACACAGTAGAAAAATGAAAACTCAGAATTAAGATTTATCATACTTAATTTGAGAGGCCTCTGCTGAATTCCTCCCCCAGAGCTGGTTGCTGAAGAAGTTGTTCATTCTGAGGGTATGATTCACCTATCTTAACTGAAAATGTCTTCTGTGTGGCACGAATCCAGTTGATCTCACTGATTATCCTGCAACTGATGCAGCTGTAGGTCCAATGTGCTCCTGGACACCCAAGTCAGAGGAAGCACCTCTCAGCGCATCAAAGACTGTCGGTGCCCGGGACACGGCAACCAGAACCACACAGGCCCTCTCCAGCGATGTCTCGGAGGTGACGTTTCCAGCGAGTTACTAAAACCTTTCACTGGGACAACCGTAGGACTCGCCAAGGGAGATGCAGAACGCGAGAGGGATGTGACGACGTTACCTGCTCCCCGGTGCGCGGGGTGGTCGGAGCGCAGGGATGGGCTAGCACAGAGCCGGGGGAAAGCAAACAGCTGCCACAGCTGCTACCTCTGCCCTGACACCAATACGCGAATGTCCCCCGCTGCCTTCCCCGAGGGCAGCGAGCCCCCAGCCGCGGACACGCGTGTGCCCCGCTCCCCCGTTCCCTGCCGCCCTCCGCTGCCGCGGCGCTCACCTGAAGCAGGTGGTGAGCTCGCCCGTGGGTTTCAGGCAGGGGTAGCGGGTGGTGGCGATTTTGTTCTCAGAGCAAACCTCCCTGCAAGGCGTAAAGTCGTAGTATTAGGGGGGAAAAATTGGAAGGAAAAAGAGAAAAAGAAAAAGAAGGTGGTGGATGGGAAGGGAACGCACAGAAGCAGCCGCGCTGTCGCGACACCCACCTGTCGCCGTCCTGCGGCTCCTCCCGGTAGGTCCAGGTGTGCCCCAGCGCCAGGAGCAGCAGCAGCCGGAGCGGGGCCAGGCTGCCGGCCGGCCGCCCCATCGGGCCGCCGCTCCCCTCCGCGCCGCGCCGGCTCTGCCCGCCCCGGCCGGCGGCGGGGCTGCGCCGACCCG